TACCACACAAGCATCGTACCATACACACTTGTTCCACCCCAGTATCACACTGGTTCCACACCAGTGTTACACCAGTGTCATACCAGTATCACACCCGTATCACACCAGTCCCACACTCCCCTGCAGGCACCGTTTTGGGGCAGCTGCTGCTCTTTGGCTGCCGGGGGCTGCCGGAGCGTGGGAGCAGCGAGCAGGGCGAGGGGGCTGAGCTCATTTCCTTCCTGTGCTCCGGGGCTCTTTGGCCTCTGTTTGCCCCAGCCCGGCTTGGCCCAGCCCGCTGACACCCCCGGGGGCTGAGCTCGGCTTTCAGCCGCTTTTTCTCACCCTGCCGAGCAGCGAACACGGGCAGATCTCACCTGCAAACCCCTCGGGGCCGCTCGAGAGGCGAGAGGCGCTCGCACCTGCCCGGCCCTGGCAGCGCAGCATCCCCGGCTGCAGCTCCCGTGTGACCCCCAGATTTCCCGGCCGTGTGCCAGGGGCAGGTTTTATATCTCCCGCATTCCTCCCTCCCACATGGCTGCACGGCCCCGCGGCTGTCCCCTGTCCCCAGCCGGGGGCTGTCCCTCTGTCCCTCTCCCGGCTCTGTCACCACCCAGGCAGGGAGGGCTCACAGGAGGGAATGGGCACAGATGAGAATATCGAGAATATCCCGGGCAGGTTCTAAACCTGCGGGTGTTTGACAGCCCTGGCCCGTGGCTGGGGACACGGGGACAAGCGAGGGGACACTCCCTTCCACCCGGGAGCCCTGGGGGTGCCTGTTCCTCTGGGGGTGCCCGTTCCTCTGCTCCTCCTGCTCCTGACCCCTGAGCTCACCTGAGCTGGGCTGGCAGGTGACAGACACTGTGACAGTGTGACAGTGTGGCACTAACACTGTGACAGTGCGACAGTGTGGCACTGTAACAGTGTGACACTGTAACACTGACAGTGTGACTGTGACACTGTGACACTGACACTGTGATTCTGTGACACTGTGACAGTGTGACAGTGTGACAGTGTGACAGTGACACTGTGGCAGTGGCAGTGTGGCAGTCCCGCCCAGCGGAAGGCCGGCAGTGCTGCTGCTGTCCCTCACAATGGGGACAGATGCAGGAGGAAGTGATTTGTCTGCCCAGGACAGGGACACTCGCAGATGTCCCACTTCCCCAGCTGACAGCGTCACCACTGAGCACAGCTCTGGCCGCCAACTCCTTCCTGCTTCAACAGCACAGCTTTTTCTTTTCATTTTTTTTTCTTTTTCTTTCTTTTTCTTTTTATTTATTTTTCTTCTCCCCTCTCCTCTCTAAGGTGCAATTTATGATTCATTTAAAGTGTCCTGCCAGGACATTTCAGCTGCTGAGTGATCTCCATTCTGTGGCTGTGCATGGAGCACAGAGGCAGCAATGGGGTTTATTTTGTTAAAGCTAAAAAAAATTAATAAAAAAAGAGCAAGATGCAAAGTACAGCTGTGAGGAGGTGACAAGGACACAATGCTTGGCAGCCAAGCTGTTCTCAACCCTTGTGAATGGAGGTGTCTGTGCATTTCCCTTCACACTTAAAATAGAAATATATGAATTGTCACTGGCTGTTTGTACCAGAGCACCTGCCTGGTCCCAGCTCTGCAAACTCCATCTGCTCCTCTCCCTGCATCCAGCAGCCTGGGCCAGGGGCAGGGTGGGGAGGGAGCTGGGGAGCACAAGCCATGGGTGGGTTTGGAGATGAAGCTCTGGAATTGTTCATCAGAGGCTGATCCTGCTCTGCAGGCAGTGGGGGAACCCAAAGTCCTGGCCCAGGGACAGGAGGGACAGGCCAGGGCTGTGATGTGGGACATCTGAATTTCTCCTGCTGTGCTTTCCTTGTCTGACAGAGCTCAGGGGCAGCAGGGCAGGGCTGAGCTCCCCGGGGTCCAGCAGGGGCTGGTGGCAGATGCCAGGGACGTGCAGGACACGACTCAGTTCCTGCCAGGCCGGGCTGGCAGCGTGTCCTGCTCTGTGCCAGCTGTGCTCAGCACCAGCCTGGGCACCTTGGCCGCTTCCCAGCCCCGGGAAGTGGCAGCAGAAATGCAAAAACCCCAACCCCAACCATCCTCCAACACACAGAGCGAGGCTTCCAACCAGAACTGGCTCCTCTGGTGTTTGCTGTGAGCTCCCCCAGGAAAACCCTGGGGTTTGGAGGGGCCACGGGGATGCTGCTGTGGCAGGGCCACCAGGAGCTGGGGACACCTCGTGCAGCCCTGGCTGTGGCCTCTGTGGGTGAGGGCACAGCAGGGACAGCCCCAGCTGCCCACGGGGACACTGCAAAGGCTGAGCTGTCCCTCAAGCAGCCCCTTGTCCTCCTGCAGTGACACTGGTGGCAGTGCTCAGCTCCTGCCATCACCACAGGAGCCTGACTCACCCCACCATGGCTCCTCTGAGAGGGCAGGGGTGGGAGCTGGGGTAATTAAAGCCTTCATGCTGATTGCACCAGTAAAGAGACTTTAGAAGGAACTAACACATTGCCAGGTTATTTAATTCCAATAAATCATTTTAAAATATTCAGCTGTTATTTACATTAAGGCAACATTTGATGCCTCTAGGGGGAAGCGTAGAGGTGATTCAATATTTGTTATACATTAGTTGAGCAGACTTAGGTGAGTAAATTCACTTTAATGGGGTTTTTTTGGTCTAATAATATTAAGCCTAAAAGAGAATGAAGGAGGGGTTTGCTGGAGAATTCTGAGCTGTGAAAATCTGTTGGTTCCTCACTGTCTGACCCTGTTTTATGGAGCTAAGGAAGAGCTTGTGAGACTCCTCATACCTGGATCTGCTGACATTCATTAATTTATTTTTTTAAGCATGTGCTTAACTTGTGTTGACTTAAGGGCAATACAGGCAGGGTCCCACCAAATAAGTGTATGAAGGTAATTAATGAACAGCTCTAGGACATCAGGCTGTTCTCAGTTTCACCTTGGGCTCTTCTCCCTGCCCACAGCAGTGACCACCAGCTGGACAGAGAGATGGTGGGAGGGCTTTGCCATGCAAATTCTGGGGAAATGAAGAGCTATGAAGAGCTAATCTGAGCAGGGCAGTTGTACCCTGTGAAAATCTCCACCTCTATGCTGGGCCTCCAGCCCTCCCCACTGCTCAGCTCTGGCTCTTGCAGGCCAGGATGTTTTCACATCTTCCCTCAGGAGATGCAAAAACGCACGTGCCATGGTCCCTCTGCAGCTCTGCTGGGAGGAGCCAGCAGCTCGAAAATAAACAGGACACCAGGACAGCCACTGGGACACCAAGTGGCTTCTTGACTGGTCTTGTAAACCTTCAAGCCAAGCCTTATCTTAGCAGAAGAGTTCCGGAGAAGAGCAGATGGAAGGAGCCTTATTTGGGGCCACGTGTTGCCAGCAAGAGGCAGCACTGAATGTCACCAGCCTGGGACCTCAGCATGGCCAAGGTGGCTCCTCCTGTTCCTGAGCACACAAACCCCTCCATTCCTTCAGTGTCTGCTTCTAAACAACGGCCCTTTGGCATTTCCCAGTCTCACCATGGTAGTTTTTGGGAGGGAGCACCTGGAGAGATCCTCCAAGCAGGGCAAGCCCGAGGCAGAGCTGCAGAGTTCCCTTTCCACTGCAGGGCTGAGAGAGCAGCAGCTCCTGGTGCCTCTGCAGCACTGACTGAGCTTGGCCAGGGCTGCAGCTCTAGACTCAGACTTTGCCAAGAGATTGGGTTTCTGTCAACTTCTCAAATCTCAATGATTTCAGGTCCCACAAGCCCAGACCAGCTCCAGCTTCTGAAAACTTCATGTGGGGTCTCAAAGCAACAGGCTTGGCCTCACTGATGCCCTATTTGAGAACTTCTCATCTTCTAAGTATTGGAACATATTAATAATGAGAGAAAAATGCAGGAGAAGCCCCTCAGTGGTTGGATCTACCCTTCAGACACCAACCCATGGGCTGTGTCCACAATTCAGCAGCACCTAAATGTGGCTGCTGCTCCTGCATCCTCCCAGCCAGCCCAGCCTGAAGGAGCTGAGGGCTCCCCCAGCCCCTCTTTGACCCCCACTGTCCCCCCCATCCTTGCAGAGGAGCAGGAGCTCACTCACACAGTGATTCACAGGCACAGCTGCAGTTCTGTGGGAATAAAACCCTCCCCTGCCTCACGGCCGGAAGAAAATCAGAACAAACGTTCTTAGGGAAGGAGGAGCAGGGCAGCCCAGCCAGAGTAAACAAGGGTGAAGAGAGAAGGGTGTGGGAAGGAGGGGACGTGTGGCAGCCAGCAGACTCTGCCTGGCTGTGGAGAGGACAGGAATGGGTTTCTCATGTTGGCTTCTGGCACCTGCAGGTTCTTCCTATCTCCAGACAGGGATCTGACGGATGCTTTGATTCTGGCAGCTGCTCTGGTTACTCCCAAACCAGACTTTTAACTTTTGCTGCTTCAGGTTCCAGCTCTGCTTGTGTCTCTGAGCATCTGAGGGCTGGAGGGGCTATGAAAGGACTCAGTGGCATGAGGAAGGTGTGGGGCAGCCCCAGGCTCAGCACTGCACCAACCTGTCCCTGGGCCACAGCAGAGCTTCTTCATAACCCACATGGGATTGCAAAGTGGAGCTGGGCACCAGCATTGCCCAGCTGGACGGGGTCAGCCCAGGAAGTGCCCAGCAGCTGCCCCAGCGTGCGCAGCAGTGGCTGCTCAGAGCCAGAGGGCATCAGGGAGCCTCCCTGTCCTGCCCTGCTGGCAGGTGGTGGTTTAGGATCACGCAATGATAAAGCTTTTTTTAAGCCTCCAAGTCCCTTCCCTCCCCTTGCAGGGGGTTTGTGGGCTGGGGCAGTGCTGGCGCCTCTCAGGAATAGTAAATGAGTCACCTCCCCAAACCACGGTGTGTGGGTGGAGACACAGGTGAGAGGTTTTGCCCCTCGGGCGATCAGAGAGGTGAGGCCCCCTCGTGGGTGTGGTTTTTGTCTCATTAACCAAAACACGGATGCCTTTACCTGCAGGGAAGTCGCCAGTGCCCGTTTATGTAACATTTGCTGTGGTTTTGTCCCGGGGCTGCAGGTACAACAGCCTGGTGACCGGCAAGCGGGCGAGGGGACTCATCGCAGTGCTGTGGCTGCTGTCCTTTGGGATTGGACTGACCCCTCTGATGGGCTGGAATAAAGCCATGAGTGGCTGTCCCAACGCCACCAACGAGACAGGCACAGAGCCCCAGGGCTGCTTCATCTCGTGCCTCTTTGAGAACGTGGTGACCATGAGCTACATGGTCTACTTCAACTTCTTTGGCTGCGTGCTGCTCCCGCTCGTCATCATGCTGGGGATCTACATCAAGATATTCATGGTGGCCTGCAAGCAGCTGCACCAGATCGAGCTGATGGGCAACTCCAGGACCACCCTGCAGAAGGAGGTGCACGCAGCCAAGTCTCTGGCCATCATCGTGGGCCTCTTTGCCTTCTGCTGGCTGCCCCTGCACATCCTGAACTGCATCACGCACTTCCACGAGGGCTTCTCCAGCTCCAAGCCCGAGTGGGTGATGTACGTGGCCATCATCCTGTCCCACGCCAACTCCGTCATCAACCCCATCATCTACGCCTACAGGATCCGGGATTTCCGCTGCACCTTCCGCAAGATCCTCTCCAAGATCCTCTGCAAGGCCCAGGAGCTCCCCAAGTGTCCCTCGGAGCACAACCAGCACCTGACTGCCATCAACATCAGCTCCCCCGCGGCCTCGGTGACCGTGTGAGCCCGGCCCTGCTGCCCTGGCACTGCCTGCCCTGCCCTGCCCTGCCAGCAGGGCTCAGACATGACCACTATGGACCCGTGCAGCTCTGGTTTTATTTTTATTTTTATTTTTGTAATTAACGTCATGCCTGGTAGAGGAGTGACCTGAGCGGGGACACTGAGTGCAGCTCGCCCTCCTCTGTAGCCCCTGGGGCTGTGATCCCCTTGTGTTTCCTTTCCAGGTGTTTCCTTTCCAGGCTGGACACTGACTGGGGAAGACTCACCTGCTGGGGGGGTGTTTCCCCAATTGTGCTGCTCATGTCAAGTCATAGGATCTTTATTTTAATTATTATTATTATTATTATTTTTTAATATTTGGATTCATTTAGGAGTAATAATTTTGTGTCTGTTTTTTGAGTTGTTCTCCAAGTTCATACTTGACAGCACTTTGGTAATACCCTAATTATTCCATCAATTGTTTGATGCAGCTTGTATTCTCTGATGGGAAAAAGTCTTACTTAGCCCAGTTGCTGGTGTGAAACTGAATCTGTGTTCCAGGCACTCAGGGGAGGGACTGTGAGGATGGGAAAACCAGGTCAGGACTGGCCAGCCCAGCATGGAAGCCCCATTTGGTGAAAGATTTGAGAAAAGACTTGACCAAGGTTTTAGTGCAGAGGTTTCACTGCCTTGAAATCACCTTGGCTCACAGGGCTGTGCAGCCCAGGTTTGCTTCCAGATCTGTTTGCAGCTATCAAAGTGAGGAGGCAGAAGTGCCCCAATGGTCTGAACCAGAGCCACCAAGGCCAGTGTCACTCTGCCTTGGGGACATGAGCTCCACAATTGGGTTTTTGCTCTGCCAGCCTTGCAGAGCTTCCACAAGTACAGGTTTTAGCTGTGAGAGGTGGATGCTGCAGCTCCCTGACTCCTAAGGCTTGGTCTGGCTGGGACACCCCTGCAGCCCTGAAGCCCCCAGAAGCTGTGAATGCTTTATTGTCCCCCCAATAGTAATTTTCATATTTCTATCCGTGAAAAATTGTACTTGAATCACACAGAAATCAACTCTATATTTTTTAACATTCTGTTGCACTAAAAGGGGGGTACAAGACCCCAAGAGTTTAACTTCTCTGGCATATGTAATGACAAATACAGTGTAAAATCAATTGAAAAGCTGAAGAACTCTTGTTCCTGCAGCATCTCCTGTGCCAGCTGGCAAGAGCTGCAGGCAGCAGCTGCAGGAATGACTCTGGGCCCACCACTCACAGGGAGTGCTGGATTTCACTGCCACTGGAGCAGCTCAGCCCCAGAGCTGGGTGAAATCACCAGAGAGCTCTGAATGGCTTTGCAGTGTTTATACAATGCCCAAGTTTAGCTACAGCTCAGTGTCTCAGATCTCAGCACGAGCCTGAGCAGCTCCAGTCCCTGTCCCAGGTGCTTCTCCTTTACCAGCCCCACTCAGCTTTGCTGCACCTGCCTTGGCCAGGGCCCAGCTGAGCCAGGGCCACCTCCTGCCATCTGGGCAGGGCCTGCCTCCCTCCTCCCTCCATCCCTTCCCTCCTGTGTTATCTTTGGCCCTGTTCCTCCTGTTAATCAGGCCTGGAAAGCAGCAGGGTTTCACCTGCAGCCCTGGCAGTGTTGCCAAGTGGTTGCAAGCCACATTTATCCTCACAACAAAGGATGGAATCTCTGCCTTTGGCTGCCTGAAACAGACCCAAACTCTCACAGCAGCAGCAGAGTGAAACTCTCAGTGCTGTAACAGCCAGAGAGAAGGTGCCAGAACATTTGTGCACATGTGAGAGCTTCCAGTGCAGCTCAGCATCCTCCAGTGCCCCCTTCCCATGAACCAGAATTCCTGCAGGTGCATTGGAGCATCCTTAGTCCAGCTGTGCCTTTGGGCTGTCAGGCATTAACTCTGGCCCAGGCCGTGGTCACTGGGCACAGGAAATGCCTTTGTGGATCTGAGCCAAACATATTTCAAGGCAAAATAAAAATAGGACACCTCCTTTGCCCTCCTCAATAAAAAGCTCATTTCTCATAAAAATGTGAAGCAAAAGCAGCAGAGGAACTTTCTGTGGCCAGTGCAGCTGTGGCCATTGAGCTGTCCCTGCTCTGCTGTACATGGATGGATGTGTTCTCCTCATGTTGCTGAGATTCTGTATTTGCAGAAACTGTTATTTTCATCCCAAATGCTTCATTTACCACCCACAGCACCTGGCTCAGCCTGTGCCCCATTATTACTGGTGCTTGATGCAGCAGGAGAGGCCACACTGCCCTCAGGGAGCACAGAGCATGGACAGGGAATCCCAGCTGGCTCCCAGGGAAGCTCAGTGTGTCTGAAAATGTTTGATTTAAAGCACAGCAACCACGTTGATGCTTCCAAAGAACCTGTTCCAGTGGAGGCACAGGGCTGTCACCAGTCCCAGGGTGCTGAGAGGTCCCTGCCCTACTCCCTGGACCAGGTTTGACACTGAAAAATCAGAAATTGCTCTGAGCTGCCACCTGCAAAGAGCCACAGCAGCTCTTTAATCTGTGCATTGCTGAGAGCTGCAGGACTGTTTGCATCCTCACATCACAATCATTACAGATTAGCTCAAACATCTTCAGAAATCCCAAAACCAGCATAAATAAATAAAACTGAAGTCAACACAGGCCTAATTAATTAATTTATCTGCGCCAGGCTGCTAATTAATGTCACACTTGGCTGCAGCACAGGAAGAAATCTACCAGCCTCAATGAGCATTTGACAGCCTTGTAGATATTAAAAATGCCAGTTACACAGCCAGGAGTGGTCCAAATTCTTCCTCCTTCATCCTTCATCCTCTTCCTCAGCCAGGAGGATGTTTGAGAGCTGCTCCTCAGACACAGCCAGCTCCTGGCAGGCTCCCAAGGCCTGGCTGAGGTAGACAGCCAGGATGTGTTTGCACTGCAAAGTTAAGAGCAGGAGCAAGGCTGGGGTGCCAGGCTCAGGAGCCCATCCTGGCCCAAATGTGTTCAGTGAAGTGCTCAGCCCCCAGGAACATGGCTCCCTCCTGGCACAGGTGGGGCTCAGTGTCCCCAGCTCTGCCACCACCAGGACAGTGCCATGCAGGGAGCTGGCACACAGCTCCTGGCACCCTCCCCACCACTGCTCACCACCAAAAGCCCTCCCTGCACCCAGCACCCAAAATCTGGGGCTGCCAGAGGCCACACAGTGGCCAGGCTCAGCCTGCATGGCAGCTCCACGCGTGTCTGGGGGAAATTTGGGGTTCAAGGGGCAGAGCAGAGCCTTGTCCCTCCCCATGGCAGCCCCAGGCACAGAACTCACCAGAAGGCTCTCACTCTTCTGCAACACAGAAAACCCAAAGGCAGGGCAGGTGCAGAAGTGGCAGGAGCTGTAGCAGGTGTAGAGTTTGCCTGAGCTGCCAAGGACCTGAAACAGAGGCAGAGGAGGAGTCAGGGCCAGGATTCACTTTAATTTCTCTGACTCAGGCTGGGTGTGCACTGCCCCAGCACTGAGGGGAGATGTCACAGCACAGAAGTGTCCCCAAGCACTGCAGTGACCCACCCAAGCCTGAAGCTCCTCAGGCCTCTCAGGGTCTCTCCAAGCTCCTCTCCCTGCAGGTGAGGGTGTCCTGCAGCTGTGCCTGCAGCAGCTCCCAGCCCCAGGGACCAGGAGAGGGGTGGTGGCACCACTCCCTGAGCTCCCATCCAGTGCCAGCCCCTCCTGTGACTCCCTCCCAGCCCTGGCAGGCTCACAGGTGGAAATGACAGAGACTCTTGTCACAAGTGTGACCCCAGGGCCACCACAGGCCTGGGGACAAGAGAGAGCAGCACTGAGCCCTTGCAGGGAGGCCTCTCCTTTCCCAGCCACTGAAGGCTGTTCTGCTCTCAGAACCAGCTGCAGCTACTGGAATCCAGATCTGCCTGAATAAACAAAGCTGAAGTCTCCAGAGAAGCCTCCCTGCTCCATCTCTGCTTTGGGAACAGCACTGCCTGCTTTTCCCACATGCTGTTCCCTGCAAGGCTGGTACTGAGGCACCAGGCTCAGCAAACAGGTGAAAAAAGCTTTATTTTCCAGCATGGAGCATTCTGTCAGCTGCTGGAGCTGACTGCAGGGTATAGGAAAGCCAGCCTGTGAATCATTAGTGCTCTTTTGGTCTCCTCAAGACTGGAAAATTGCTTTTAGGAAACGACTTTAAGGGCTCAACCTATGGGAAGGGAAGAATCTGCAGGAGCAGAAAACACTTGCACAGGGCCCAGGGCTCTGAGGGCACATCCCAGCTCTCTCCCATCCCAGCTCTCTCCATCTGGCTGGGTTTGTGGCACACACACCCCCAAATCCAAAGATAAACCCAAAAGTGCAAAGACAGAGGAGCTCTGCAGAGTGCTGCTCCCCTCCAGAACATCCCTGGCATCCCAAGCCCCTCCAGGGGAACATTGTCCCTCCCTGTCCAAAGCTGCACTTCCAAGGGGAGCCCTCCCCTGTCCCCTGGAGCTGCCCCTGCCCCCTCTGCCCAACAGGGAGCACCCAAAAGTTCAGGCTCTCCCACAGAAATGCCAATGCCTCAAAGTCCCCCTCACTCCCAGCAGATCCAGGACATAAAACTCACATTCCCATTTCAGGGTAAATCTCTTTTTTTTTTTTTTTTTCTTTTTCAGTCTGGCCTTTACCCTGAGTCCTCCTTTTACTGCAGGCTGAGTTTGTTTCACTTGTGATAAGTTTGTTTTCCTGCAGCCCCTTTGATTGCTTTTTCCAAGATGAAGGATTCTGATGGTGCCTTCCCTTCAGAAGTGTTTTCCTTTGGGGAGGGGGGAGCCACGGACAGACACTGCCACATTTGGGCTGAGCCCAGCGTTCCCAGTCCTGACCTACATGGCAAGAACACAGTCTCTGCCTAAGAAAGCAGAATCTAAAATCCAAGACTGGGAGAAGAAGGTGCCTCTGTTCCTGGCCAGCTGCAGCCCTGCCAAGCACTGGGGTGCTCCCCTGGCCCTGAGCTGAGATTCTCTTCTGCTGTCCTCATCCCTGGGCCTCAGGGAGGAAAAATCCCCCTGGAGGTGTCCCTGCCAGTGTGGGGGCACAGGAGGCTCAGCTGAGGCACCAGCACAGGGACAGACAGACAGACAGACAGCACCACAGCCTGTGCCAGGGCCGGCTGCTCAAACCCTTCACTGTGGGACATCTGCCACACAGTTCTGGGAAATGGATGAAAAAAGACAAAATAAAAAAGAAATGAAAGTGCAGGATGTGAGCAGTGCAGGATGTGAGCAGTGCAGGTGCCAGCTGGCAGGGCTGAAGCTCTGCCCTCCTTCACTGCCACAGCTCAGCATCTCTGCCACTCGGGCAGAGCTCAAGGGAGCCCCAAATGCTGCCAGGCCAACCCTGCCACAGCCAGCACAGCCCCAGCACAGCCAGACCCACCATGCCTGCAGCAGGCAGGATTTACCCCTGAGCTGAGCAGGGCAGGTGTCATCCAAGCTCTCCTGAGATGATTTCAGCTCTGAGGCACCCAGCCAGGGGCACTCATCAGTGCTACTCCTGTTAAACAGAAGGGCATTAAGGGACACATCACAGCTCTCATTTGACTGAGGGCTCCTTCTTCTCCCATCTCAGCTCCTCAGGGCAGGGGCTGCCCACACTACAGGGCCTGTCTGAGCAGAGCCTTCCTGCCCTGAAGCAGGACCTGAGATATGCTGGCTGATAGGGAATTATCAGCAGCCCAGATTTGGCTGTAATGACCCACAGGAGTTTCACAACAGAACCAGCCCCGGCCTCAAAGAGCTCTCCAGAGGCAGCTGCAAGTGGAAGCAGCACCTCACATTCCAGCTGAACCACATCTGGTGCAGATGGCAGGGCTGACTTTGTGGGGGATAATTAGCAGGGATGATTGTGCAGTGCCCAGGCAGCCAGGGGTGCCCCTCTCTCCAGGAGCACGGCTGGGGGACATTCCCACATATTCCCACACACTCCCACACATTCCCACACAGGAATGAAGAGCCAGTGGCTGCAGTGCAGTGTCCCACCCAGGGCTGGGTTTCTGTGACCCCAGATGTGTTCCTGTCACTGCTCCAGCCCCAGGGTAGACTCTGCTCTTTGTTTCTGCATCTCAGACAGCTGTGATGAGGGAGAATTTCACAATGGCACCAACCTCACACCCCCAGAGAAAATATCTCTTCAGATTCCTCTGTTA